TAGACATAGCCTCAGATTAATGTTTGCTGCATTTGGGAATAAGTGATCTTGAGTTAGTCCTCACAGCTGTGGCTGGTCCTCCAAATAATCACATGAATGGATGCTGTTAACGCTGGCTGAATAACTGACTATTTGGGTCAGGGGCAGGTCTGAAAAATTAAAGAGAAATCACATTGGGTCAACCCAAAAGGAAACTGTTTCACAATTTTCAGTGAACTGAAATGTTGAAAAAATTTTCATTTTCATTTCAAGTTTTTTTTTTCAACATTTAAAAACAGACTAAATAAGGGGTAGGCAACCTATGGCACGCATGCCGAAGGCGGCACGCGAGCTGATTTTCAGTGGCACGTACACTGCCTGGATCCTGGCCACCAGTCCGGGGGCCTGTGCATTTTAATGTAATTTTAAATGAAGCTTCTTAAACATTTTAAAGACCTTATTTACTTTACATACAACAATAGTTTAGTTATATATTATAGACTTATAGAAAGAGACCTTCTAAAAACATTAAAATTTATTACTGGCATGCAAAAACTTAAATTAGAGTGACTAAATGAAGACTCGACACACCACTTCCGAAAGGTTGCCGATGCCTGGACTAAATAAAACTCAGGGAAATTTCAAAATCAAACATCTTTCTGCAATGAAAAAATATAAATATTTTGTTTTGGAAATACACAAATAAAACATTTTGACATTTGCAAATGTTTTTTCTTTTTCGGACCTAAACAATGAGCCAAAATCGACCAAAATTCATGAACTGTTTCAGTCGAGCTGAATCTGCATTTGTTTTCAGAAAAAAAAAAAAAGGTTTTTGCATGTAAAATTTTGCCAAGCTCTTGTGTTGCATTTAAGTTTTATGAGCCAATCCTCAATTTCATCAGCCAATGCTACCTGTCACAGAGTGGCTGGGCCCCTTAAGGGGTGATAGGCCACAGCCCTACCTGGGACAAGCTTAGCTCCTCTCCCCAGATGGGAAGGATGAGTACTAATAAATGAGGTCATGACTAACTGAGGCCAGGCCTACAGATATAAGGGAGAAGCCTGAGGGAGAGTGAGGAACTGGAGTATTACTGTCTCCCACTTGAGCTATGTAGAGCTGGGAGTGTCAGGCAGAACAGAAGCAACTGGCCTGAAGAAGCTGTTGCAGGTCAGTGCTGTAAGGAGCGAGACTGATTCCTGTAGGGAATAAAGGGACTGTTTGGATTATAACCCAGCTTCAGGAAGGAGGGCTAGGGACTCCTGATTCAATGAGAGAGACTGAACTCCGCTCTGAGAAGGAGGGATGGGGGGACTCCTGACTCCAGGAGAGAGAACTGTTCAAACTGTAGAACCCTGGGGCCCGCTGGGGAAGCTGGTATGAAGTACTAATGTCTCTATAGGCTAAAGTGGATCCCCCTCCAGAAGGGAGATATTTTAAAATTACATGGAATTGGTGACATTTTTGAGGAGCCCTGGGAGAAAGGGAAACTGAGGAAGTGTGCTGCAGAACCACCCAGGCCAGGAGAGTGTGCTCAAGAGGTGGCTACCTATTTACACTACCCGTCTTTCAGTAATCTGACTTGAACATCAATCAGTTGGTGCTATTGACATACTTACTAGTGCAGCAAAGATAAAAAAATATTCAGAAATAGTCATAATGAGAAAAATAGCCATTTCTTTTACTAACATTGTCCTGTCATAAATGCTCCTTTCAAGGAGACCCTTTCCATGCACACTTTGAGAAAATCGGAAATGTTTTAATTTCATGCTGTTCAAGTAATGTAGTATTGCTGTAACATCAGAGAGGTCCACCTGAGGCTCTTGTAGAGCAGTGCAACAAGAACACCAGAGGTCAGTCTTAATTATATTTTTACAATATTAATTACAGGATATAAATAGTATTTTACATATTGAAATACCCAACATTTTACATTCTGTGTATAATCACATATCCTAGTCTAAGCCCAGCGAATAGTTAATGACTTGGACTATTCCTATAACAACTGGTTGCCAGGCCACCAGATAGCGGAGCCAATCCAACAGTTGCCCCTACATGTTTTGTACGCTCCCACCTAAACTACTGTTAAGGAAATCTGCTGCCAAGATTGTTTAAAGATGAAAAGAGATTTGATATGACATCAGTTCCTTCAGCAATAAGCGAAGAAAAGTACTTGTTTAATGTTCTCAAACATAGTGCTCTCCGGTTCCTCTACAGTAGTGATACTCAGACTGTTGCTCCTGAGCCACAAGTGGCCCTTTAATGTGTCTCTTGCAGCACATGATAATTAAATCACACAGTATTTTAATATTCACCAATCTAAGTTATTAACTATCAGGATGCTTTTACTATGTTATTAACCAATTAAGTTATCAACTTGCACTAAGTTATTCACTTATTTTCTGGGAGAATAATATATATAAACAAAATATTTCCCCTGTTGAACAGTTTAAATATGAATAGTACTATAGTAAATGAAATAATGCATTCACACTACTGTGGCTCTTTGGGTAATGTTGATTGCTAATTTGGCTCCTGAACCACTGAGGTCTGAGTTTCACTGCTCTAGATTACTGTGTTTTGAATGATATTATCATAAAAATGTTTAAAGTAAAATGTAAACAGTTCCCCCAATGGGAATTGAAATGGGTTGAAAAAGTCAGTAGGGCAAATTCTGCTCCAACTTGAATGGGGTTTCACAAATGCAGCAGCAGAATTTGGGCTACTGTCCTTCCTTCTGGAGAAACTAGGAGAGATACTAACTAGTAAGAAGGAAGTAAAGAAATCTGCTGCTATTACTGGTATTTTAACTGGCCATATTTATTTTTATTTTTTACTCCCACCTCTCTCCACTGGATCATAACACAAACTAGCAAAGTCAAAAGAATTAAAAAATTGAAGTAAAAAACACATTTGTTAAGAAAAGGATACGGGTTACTTAACATCCTCTTCAAATCAACTTTCTCGTTGCAGTATGGGCAAGTCTGCTTTTTGCTAACAATGCACCAACCTCGGATGCAAAATTCATGAAATCTCGTATCGGGCATATTGTTAAGGATTCTTTCAAATATAAACAAGGAACAATACATGCTTCTGTGAACTTATCTACAGATTTGAATTATTATTGATTGCGCACATTGCATTGCTATTTATCTCAGGCACTTACACAGGTCACTTAACTTCTCTGCATCAGTTTCCCCAACTAAAAATGGGGATAATGATATTTACCCAACTTGGATGAAAAGCATGCCACACAATTTCATATTATATTTATTATTTATTAATTATTATTAGATATGGGCCCAAGGCAAAATTCTGGATCTGGACATCCTTGAATTTAGGAATAACTGGAATCTAGAGCCAAATTTATTAGTAGCTGGCCCTATTCTTGAATGGGCTGAATCACAACCTCAGATCAAAATACTCTTGAATTTCCCAGTTTGGGTCTATAACTATTATCGTGAGAGTCTAAGGACATTGTTAAAGAAAAAAGAAGTGCAGTTGAGCATTTGAAATTCATGGAAAGTCAGGAGCCTTATGAAGTTGTTATAAAGTAGGTTATAATTTCTTTTTTAATTTGGGGAGAGGGGATTAAATGATTGATTAGTTGTAAACTACTTACATTAAGCTATTAAAAGAAGTGATATCAGTTACCTTAGAACAGCTTTAAAGGTCTCCTGTCCTTGTCATGCTTTCATATATTGAGCTGTGTTCCCTGAGTGATTCTGATCCCACTTTCACTCATGCAAATTTGGGGGTAACCTCACCTGAAGTCAGTCACATCAGTGTAACTAGGCTAGGTGAGTGGAGAATCAGGTCCCTTGGTACTTAGGCGCCTTAAGTCTAGGGTTTACATGTCTAAATCCCAGTTTTAATTCCACAAAACTCCAACCAAACCCTGTAGGCTACTAAACTAACGCAGTGCCTAAGTTTCTGCCTCTCAGCATGTGCACTGATGCCTATCTCCTGCCTAAGCCCCAGAGCAATTCATGAACCAGGGGAAGATGGACATTTGTCTATCTAATTTGCATGCAGAGCCCAATTGGGTAGACTGCTGAGAGGCCACCTACTGGATCAGATCCTATTCAAAATCTGGAGCTCACCTTAACTTTTAGCTCAGTAGTTAGCACTCTCACCTGGGATGTGGGAGATCCAGGTTCAATTTTCCCCTCAGGCAGAAGGGGTGAAATAACTTAAACAGGGATCTCCCATCTCTCAGGAACATGCTCTAATCATAGACCTATGGGAGATGGGGAAGCTTCCTTAATCTCTCCCACTGAAGCTCTTCCCCTTTGTATAAACAATTAGTGACTAGAGCAGGAGGGACTGGACCCTGGTTAAGGTGGGTGTCTTAACTACCAGGCTACAGAGTTATTCTCCTTGTCCCTGCATCCACCAAATGACTATTTAAGTTTTTATCCACAGTGGTACAGCATCATTAGGAGAGATTAAAGGAGCCCCGCATCAGCCCCAGACCTCCAGAGAGCTGGGAGACCACTGTTCAAATGCCCCCTGAACCTAGATCGCCCACATCTAGGGTGACCATATTTCCCTGTGCTGAATACAGGACACCTGGTAAAATTAATCTTATTCAAGCGAGTTCAACGGCAATCAATCCGAACTACACAGTACAAACATTCAAATTAACATCAAGTTGACTGAGCCCTTGTTAAAAAGAAATACTGCCTAGTTGGATTCTTTTTATTTACCTTCTTATTTTTAAGGCTTTAGGGTTCACACAGGGAGAGGACACGGCCCCCCCCACCTGTCTGATATCAGGGGGTGACCGACCCTCCCTGCCCAGCACTCTCCGCCCTCCATGCCTGGCTGGGCCCCTGGAACAGACCCGCCTCTCCTGGTACTGCATCTTCCCAAGGCACCATGTGGAGGGGGAAACATAGGGTCATCCCCTCATCCCCGATTTCTGCCGGGGTTCATACCAGAATTTGGCCAGCAGCAGCCTTTTTGCACTGTGCAGGATGGGACCTGCTTCCAGCCGCATGGGATGGGGGAGGGAGGGAGGGATGACCTGGCCAGTGTCTTTGCAGAGCTCATCTCTTCCTCCCCCCCCCCCCACTTCCTATCTATGGCTGGAAGCAGCTTGTCCCTTCCTGCTCACACAGTGTCGAAAGGCAGCTAACACCTCTAGGCTGTTGCTGGCCACCGACATAACCCAGCCACCGCCTGTCCCCAGGCTACAGTGCAGCTAGGAAGGGGTTAAGCCCTAAGGATGCATTGTGCACCAGGGCCCAGGGAACCTGATTGCAGGGGCTTCAGGGAACTGGGCCAGAGAGATGACTCAGCAGGGGCAGGGCCATCTCTGGCTTTTTGGCCGCCCCAAGCGACAAAAAAAAAAAAACAAAAAAAAACCTAGTGGCGCGGCCAGAGCACGGGTGCAGGGGGACCGACGTGGGGGGGGGGGGGGAGGGAGGGAGGGAGGCGGGTGGGA